CATCATAAACAGCTTGACAAAAACTAAGCATGACACAGACGCACTGATCAGAAGTGTTTCTGGGTAATGACCCATTTAGAATAGGATTAACAAGGAGAAACTGTCAGTGGTAATGCATTATTGAGTTGTTTTTGAGTGGTTCAAACACTTTCTTGCAGGCTGCTTGCACTGAGTCTTTCTTTACTGTTGTTATATTTTATGTTTTTTTTTTTTTTTACACAGTTGCTACTTTGCTACTGTTAAAGACCAGCTGTGTTTAGTTTTGGGTTGTAATGGAAGGAACCTGCATCTTTTAGTTCATGTGTTAGAAATTTGGGAAAACATGCTTTGTGCACTTACTTTACATAGATCTCCTCCTTCGACACATTGTGCTGGACATGTTATACCGGTACAATTGTTAGACTCAACTATTGTTAGAGATTTTTGATCGACAATTGACAATTGGTTCCCATCACCCCTTAAACTTCCTCCACTAAAGTTCTTTTGGGGTTTTTGGTTCCTCTTCCTGTAATGTGTCCTTCGTTGTGTTTTGTTTAGTTCTTCTTTATTTATAAAAGACTGTAACCATGGTTGCTATCACCTGTAAGGCACACTGACAGACTGTGTGTTGTACTGGCTATACAAAGACTTGATTGGACTTGTCTTCCCGACTGCAGCTGCTAACCTCATCCCCCAACATTTCACTTTGATTTTTTTGTTCATACAAGAACAGTTTTGTAAGAAGGTAAACATTTTGGGAAAGAAGCGTATACTCACTTTAGGAGAGTGAAACAGTTTTGTCTGGGTAATAGAATCTGAAGGAAAGTAAGTCTGTTCATCAGGATCGAAAGCAAACTGATCAATACATGTTTTCTTGTCTGTTCAGTTTGTATAATGTCACATTTAGCAAAAACCACAACGTGCCCTTTTTTTCACAAACCTCAGTCTCAGGGTGGTAAAGCTGTGTTTCTGGATGCAAACTTCAGCTAATATTGCTGTTTGGTTGTAATACACAAAGATATAGAAAAGATGGAAACTCTTAGCTCATGGTACAGTAATCAAAGAGGTCTTAGATGCTAACTTTGGCGAACAAACGTTGTCTCAGCATAGCTAAACTAATCTAAATTTAGCTAACAAACTGCTGGCTTTAGCTCCATAATGAATGTCAAACACTACTTCTTGTGAAAATGTTAAGGCTCGGTTGACATTTAAGGGCGGCAGTAGCTCAATCTCTAAGGACTTGAGTTGGGAACCAGAGGGATGCCGGTTCAAATTCCTGTAAGGACCAAATCTAGAAATGAGTCTGGCAGCTAGAGATTTCACTTCCTGAGGACTGCAGGGTTGCCATTGAGCAAGGCAGTGTAAGTATAGGCAGTTGGTGTTTAGGCGAGGGGTTGCCAGCCGTGAAGTGAAAATGCAGTTCAGGACAAAAAGAGAGCGATCAATGGAAAGAAAAGAAGACTGTAAGTGATTACTTCCTAGAGAACCAAAGGGTTCAGATGATAAACATACCGGAGGGAAAATAACCCAAACTCTGTTAAACACTCCTGAGAGCAGTCTAACTAAATCTTTAAAAAAAACATACAGAATCTTCTCAACCCAGTCAAGAAACTGCCTGACACAAAGCAAAAGATAAGAGACAGAGGCTTTACTTAAAAAGAAAAATCTGCCTCTGATTCATTTGATCCCTAAAACTTCCCTTTCTGAAGAGAATTTGAACTTTTAGAGAGTTAGTAAAACTTCTCCACCAAAAGTTCTGGGCGACATGAGGCTAAGAATGCACGACAAGTGATGAATAATGACGGTATAGGACTCAGAATAATTGGGGACAAACAGTTTCATTGGAACAAGACAACCTGTCAGCATCAAAAAAAAGTCTGATCAGATAATGCTGCTCTGTCTTTCGCTGCCCGTCTGTCTGCACGTCTCTTTTTTGAGATAAGCAGTCATTGCGTGTAAATGTCAATAACCAAAGAGCAAAAGAAGGGGAAACAGAGCCAGAGGAATGTGATTGTGAACCGTAAAAAGATATAACATTTTCCATCCACAGATAATGGTGCTTTGACATACACACACATACTGAGAAAACAATAACACATGCAACTGTCTCCTAAGCTGTCCCGGTGACCAAGAGGGGCGGCAGAAACTTTCTACAGATAAACTCACAGAGCTGTTCATGGCTTTTGGTGTGTGAACAAATATACTAATTATATACTGGACTTCTGCTGGGCTGCTTCAATGAGATACAAGTTTTCAGCAACATCATCCAGCTCCAGGCAGAATGAACTCTTTACTCAAGTAAACAGTTTGGAAGTTTGTTTTTCTTCTAAGAAGATTGATTTTGAAGAAAAACGCTGACATTTTGAGGTGGAAAACATGGATAAATATAATTTTGTTTATCTTATCTTACAGCCCAAAACCAATACCTGTATAGATATAAAGTTAGTAACCCTGACAGGTCAAAGAAATTCATTTGGCTGCAAAATCCTCTTCAGTAACTTCATCTATTTAACATCCGGGCATGATTTGCAACATACTGTCTGTCTAGATATACTTAAGTAGCTCGGCTGAACTTCACATGATTTCATCAGTTTGATCTTACCACTTCTTAAACAATAACAAGAAGCACACGAGGGTTTCCTGATTGATGATCTATAATAATTTCTTGGCCAAGCAGTGAACTAGGGATGTGTGCAATTATTTGATCCGTCTAAGTACAATTCATTTGAATTTTTGTGACGTACATCAGAGAGTAAGTACAACACAAGCAAGGATCTAGAAAGGAGGAAACAACATTAGGAAGTGCCAACGAACAGCTTTGAGTCCGGCACACAGGTGCTGACAGGCCATGCACAGAGGCAAAGCCCAGCATTTACAGCAATTCTTGAGAGTTCTAGTCATCTATCTTTCCATCTATCTAATGTTTACTTGCATAGGTGCAAGTATAATTGAGGTGCACTGTTGCATCACACTGCAGCCTTTACAGCCTAATTTGCAATGCTGGCCCCTAGATGGGCCTTTAAACCTAATTAAAATCAACAAATACACAAATGATTAAACATCATCACTCATCAGTCTGTACCAGAATTACTAGTCAGTTAAAGTAATTACAATTTTTGATAGATTCAAGCCTGATATGCCAGTCAAATGTTGTTTCCCAACTGGATGAGGGAGTGTTGTCATTGGCTTCTTAATGTTGAAGTTTAAAAATAATAAAGACAACTTCTCCAACATTCTCAGGAGCTTCACTAATCATTTGCTTCCTATTGATTCAATTTTAATAATTGCCCTAGAGTCATGAGATTAGCTAATGAATTCTGCCAAACAGGGACACACAGTTGTCAGTTCAGGTTCTCTCAAAGCACAACTCGTTGGATTATTTCACAAATATCAAAGCACTTTTGAGAGAAGTGGTCTTCTAATTCATCTGGTAACAACCTCTCTCCCCCCCTTTGTGTGTGTGTGTGTGTGTCACTGTGTTAATGTGTAGTGTGTAAAAGTTTGAGCCAGCTCTTAGCCACAAAGATCAAGGCAGAGTGTGTTTGCGTGTGTGTCTTTGTACATAAGCTCAAATGCATGAGTGTGGGCTCTTTAGAGAGCTGAATGATACAGTAGGGGAGACTTCAAAGTACCTCTTTCATCAGCTAGTGGAGCAAAGTGGAGATACACAAACCAGCACCTCCATACACTGTTTGCCTCTTTCATGACTGTGTGTCACTTTGCCTGCATCTCAATATAAAAGCCTGACCACATTATATTAAATACAATAATGAAAGTTATACTGACAAGAAGAAGAGCAAGAATCAGTTTCGGCAATAGTGAGAGAATGGATCTTGATGTTTTCCTGCCAGAGCTATTTGTCTGGAGAAAGTTTGCATCATATCCGCACAGCAACAGTCTTTTACTTATGATCTTGGTCGGCAAGTTAGAGCAGTTCACTTGGAGAAAAAACAACAACATCAATAAGCTGCAGATTTCCGAGATACTTCTTTTCTCTCAATTCAACTAAGTAGAGCCAAGCCTGCGGGCAGACTTATCACTATAACCTTGCAGTTCAAACGCAGCCTGCAGCGGTGAGTGCAGGGGTACTGCGAGGCAGCAAAGTGAAGAAAGAGAGCCCTTGAGGACGTGTGCAAACGGAAAATAAAGTGCTGAAAACAAACCGACTGTCTTGCAGCGTTGCTTGGCTGCTTTGGCCAAAACAATATTCGAAGGTACAGCACCTCAACAGGGTGGGACTTGGCAAGTTGACACCGAGCCGTCAAGTGTCAGGTGTTTGGTGGTGGTGGTGGTGCAATTTAGAGAGTAGCATCATCTTGTGAATAGTGACGCCAAATTGTCAGCTCACTGTGTTTCATGAACACACACCAAGGCAGAAAAACACTTTGTGTGGAGTGGAGTGTTTCCATTAGGTCTATAATACTGTTTTTATCAAGTAGAGATTTAAAGATATAATGTATTCCTTCCAATTATTATTCTGTTACCTGGACTTAAATTATTTTTCCAATATCCATTCCCCTTTTACCAGTGCAATAAAACAAAAATATTGGGAAAATGATTGCTGACATCTTTGTTACCTTTGACAGGATTTTAGTATTGGACCCTTTTTAATGACTTTTTCTCACCAATTCCCAAGACTACATTTGAGGATGTATTGATGTGTTCATATAATCAGTATTTAAGGCCTAAATCAGTATTATAAGTTGATAATGGCATGGGAAGAATACTACTCTAAAGATGGTTTCTGACGAACAATATTACTGAAATTGTTGAAAACTACAACTGCCTTGTTCTTGTTTTGCTTTCAAAACCACCAGTCATCAGCAAAAAAAAATGCACTAACTTACAAGCAATCAGAAACACTGTGTCTAAATGCTTATTGGCACAAACATGGCCTATCTGTCTTTTTAATGTTAAAGAAAGACATTTACAAGGCTTCACTTGAGGCTGTATAGTGACAAACATGAGGCCAAAAATGCTGCATGTTGAACTTTTTCAGCAGTGGTAGTCGTTTTTATTACCCCTGTTGGTGGATGACCTGGTGCGACTGCGGGACCGGCTCCGCTGACGCTGCAGCCTAGACTTGCCGAGGAATCTGTAGTAGTACGAGGGTCTCCCAGATCCCTTCCTCGTGACCCCAGCCATGGTGCTAAATAGTTTCCACTAGCAACAAGATATCCCAGCTCAGCAGCAGTAAAAAAAAAAAAAAAAAAAAAAGTCCTCTTGAGTGTGGTATCAGTGCAGATAAAGTCCAGACAAAGTTTGTGTTTATCACCAACTTCTCTAAAGAGTCCTCTTGCAGACACTCACTTCTACTTAAGTTTAAGTCCTCGTGGATTTGTGTCGTGATCAAATCAACTCCATTGTGAAGAAAGAGAATACTAAAGCATCAAACCTCCACTTCTGCTCAATGCTTGTGTGCTGTCCCAGAAGCTCAGGCTTCTGCTCCACCTTTGAACACTCCCCCTCAAAGTTTCCCACAGCGATATCCCAGAGGCATGATGTCCGGAATACTGCGTGAGTGTGTATCCTGAATGACAGGAAAGCTGCTCCTGTTCCCACTGGCAGAGTGCAGCAAAGGAATTTTATAATTTTCTCTTTCATAGAGCAGTAAAAGCAGTCTCTTTAAACAGTTACATCCAACCAAATCCACTATGCCTAACTCCTGTGACTGTGTTTGAGTGTGTGTAACAGGGACACACACAGAGACACACACACACATACACACACATACACAAACACACACACACACACACACACAGAGTGTATGCTATGTGGCTGAGAACAACAGGAGAAACTTTGGGTTGTATAGAAAACATGCACAGAAAGGAGCCTTCAGTGGAATGGAGTTAAAAAGACAAATATCAGTTTACACTATGTTTTATTTACCTCCACCAACCACACTAATGTGTACAGATAAAACAACATGTGGCGCACTAAACAAATCTGACTTGTGTCAGTCTGAGAAAAATACACAACCACTGTATTTAACCACTGTTAAATACTCCTGATCCAGTCCCAGGCACATTCCTGGTTTTACTGCTTAACCACTTTAATTTCCCTCCCTAGGCAAGAAAGGCATGGCAGGGAATGACAGCCTATCAGACGCAGATGTAAATAAGGCTGTTAAAGATGTCAAACAGCCAATCAGAGAGAGCTCTGGAGCAGAGAAGTCAGGCAGATGGACAATAGTCCATAACAAGAATTACTGACAAACACCCAATTGCAGTGATGCAGAAATGTGTACAATACGGCTCAGTGATGCCAACATGTTCACATAGTGATTTTGACTTGTCATGCTGGTCGACACAAATATAAAGCGGCAGTACAGAAAGAGAAACTTCAAACTAAAAGATTTAGAGATTGGTCAATTAATTGACTTGTTGATCAAAGAAAACTGTCAACTACTTTGATAAAAGTTTAAATGTTTCAGCCATATTCAGGCAAATATTTATGAGGTAAAGAAAAGGTGTTTGGTGGTTGGACAAAAGAAGCTATTTAAAGGTCATGTACAGATTGTGTACGGGTTTATGAGTAATTGTGACGAGCAATTTCTTACAGATGAACTGGGATGTACTTAGTTTGTTAGCTTGATGCTAACACATAACAGAGATTACCTCTAACAGGCTAACAGATTTAGCATCCGGATGGCGGTATTTTTGACTTAAGAATCAATCTATTTTACTAAAATGTTACGTACAATCATGGCCTGTATACATTCTTTGAGTAAAATATGATGTTTCTTTAGTTAAGAGGTTAGTTTCTTAGCATCTCTACAGTCTGTAACACTACAGTTGTGTCACCTGACTCTTACTGTCTTCTTCTGTTGTTGTTCAATCTCAGTTAGCCTCGCATCAGCTTTCAAATCTGCGACAGCAACTGTCTGGCTGTAGTACTGTTTTACAATTTAGCGCCAGTAAAAATAATGGCATTTTTTTTATTTTAAGATGAGATAAAAGTCAAATGAAAACTTGTATCTTTCATAAATTTGTTATTTCAATATATGAAAATCATGACCTATCGCTAATACATAGTCTAGTATACATATGTGATGCAAGTACCTAATCAAACACTCCCTCTTGCCCTCTCACAGTCTCTCTCACTATATTGCAGCTCAATTGTTCACTGTGTTGCAGCTTGTTGCTAGTGGGAGCATTGGGTACCATAACGCTACACGCTGTGCAGAGTTTTTGTCATTACCTCGACCCATAAACTCACAGAAACAGAGTGCAGCAGTGTGCGAATGTGTCTGTACGTCTCTAACATAAGCTTCACTGTTCCTGAGGTCCCGCAGAGAGTATTTAGCAGGACCATTAGCAGGTATACATCACTCGGGCTCCAGCAGAGGGAATGTGAAGGCCTTCAGGCTTTACACCGCTGCTGCAGGGCTCATGAAACACCCTGAAGACACCGATAGAGAAAGCCGTGGTACACACAAGGTGTGTCTAGGTTTTAAGAACTAGCTTGGAATGTCACATATATACAAATTAAGGCTACAACAAATAGCCATCAGTAAATCCACTTCACACAGACAAAAGAGGCACGTGTGAAGCCAGTCTACTTTTTTAATGACATAGCAGAACTATTTGTCTTGCCTGTATAATAGTCACTGTGGGAATAGCTACCTTCAATGACTTCTTGTTAGACAGGCGCAGAGTCTATACACAGGCAGACCAGAAAATCAGGGTCATGCAGAGTTTGTGTTCTGCTCGTGGCCTATGCCAGCTTCACAACAATGGACACCAGTGAGCAGTGTGAGGGTCACTAAAAGGTCAAGACAAAGAGGTTAAGTAAACTAAAGGCTTTTGTTTTCATTGGAATGCCAGTTGGGAACTCTTGCAGTATGAGATACATACAAATGATCAAATGTTGAAGTGTTGAAACAAGCTAAATATCTATCAGATAATGGGAAAAGACAGAGGAATATCCATTGGGAGACCACCATTAACTACCAATCTCTACAGTACACATTAATGTTGATAGCTGATACAAATGCTTGTATGCGGCGATTTCAAAGTGTGATATGAAGACCAATAACCAAACATAGCAACAGTCAGCTGATAAATAACTAGGAACAACAATTTGCCTAAAACTAAAGTACTTATCTTTATTTAGAGAAATTATTCAGTTTTCTTTTAATTTTTAATTCTAAGTAGAAAGCTGAGAGCCTGAGTCCAAGCAAACACAAACAATGTGAGACAAGGACCAAATATCGACTATCGGCAGCCTTATCCTTTGTTCCCAACACTGAAATATGTAGATGAAATGAATGCATCTCATAATTCAATTCAATGGGCTGTAAAAAAAAAAGGATAAAGCTGATCTGCAAGTTTCTTTACACACTTTGATGGCACTACTTCAAAACCAGGCGCTCCCATTAGGTATTTAATAGACCACTTTGCAGTCAGTCAGCACACTGAGTTGTTAATTCACATGAGTAGAGAGGAAAATGTTTGGAAACGAGTCTTACAGGCGGATACAGGCACACTTATGACTTGAATATAAATATATATTCGTATTTTACTGAAAAGGTTGCAACCATCAGTAACCACTTTTCTGAGCCTGACCAACTCAGCCCAAAGGCACCAACCAAAAGTGCCTCACTCGACTCATTCTCCTCTCTGACTGAGGATGAAGTCTCTAAGCTTGTGTTAGACTCTCGGCCCACCACCTGTCCTCTGGACCCATCAAGCCTCCTGCAGACCATTTCCTCTCTGCTTAATGCTGCACTTAAGCATATCATCAACTCCTCTCTGTCAACGGGTGTGTTCCCCACCGCATTCAAGCAAGCTCGGGTCACCCCTCTGCTCAAAAAACCCACACTAAACCCAGCCCAGGTTGAAAACTACAGACCGGTTTCTCATTCTGCCCTTTCTGTCAAAAATACTTGAGCGCACAATTTTTAAGCAAGTCTCTGAGTTTATGTCCAGAAACAATCTGTTTGACTCAAATCAGTCAGGCTTTAAGCGGGGCCACTCTACTGAAACTGCACTACTGTCAGTAACAGAATCGCTACGAGCTGTGGGTCAGTCCTCAGTTCTATTACTGCTAGACCTGTCTGCTGCCTTTGACACAGTCAACCATCAAATCCTCCTATCCACGCTCTCTGAACTTGGCATCTCAGGATCTGCCCTCTGCTGGTTCATGTCCTACCTCTCTGGGCGATCCTTTAGAGTGTCGTGGAAGGGAAAAGTGTCCCAAGCGCACAGCTTATCCACAGACCCTCAAGGGTCAGTGCTTGGTCCCCTTCTCTTCTCCATATACACAAGCTCACTTGGTTCAATAATCCGCTCTCATGGCTTCTCATACCACTGCTATGCTGACGATACCCAGCTCTTCCTATCATTCCCGCCAGACGATGTTACAGTCTCTGCAAGAATCTTGTCATGCCTTGCTGATATCTCTAAATGGATGAATGAACGCCACCTTCAACTCAATCTTTCAAAGACTGAGCTCCTTGTTATCTCAGCCAGTCCCTCTATGCAACCACAGATCAATATCCAGCTTGGAACAACCAAACTCATGCCCACAAAGTCTGCCCGGAACCTGGGTGTCATGATTGATGACCAGCTAACTTTTAAGGTTCAAGTAGCCTCGATTGCCCGGTCATGTCGATTTGCCCGGTACAACATCAGGAAGATCAGACCTTACCTGTCAGAACATGCTACACAGCTCCTGGTACAGGCTCTTGTGATATCACGCATCGACTATTGCAACTCTCTACTGGCAGGTCTTCTTGCATGCACTATCAAACCCCTGCAGATGATACAAAATGCAGCAGCACGACTGGTCTTCAATCTTCCTAAAAGAGCACATGTCACTCTGCTGTTCATCTCCTTACACTGGCTCCCAGTTACTGCTCGCATCAAATTTAAAACTCTGCTGCTCGCTTACAAAACAGCCACAAAAACGGCTCCTGCTTACTTTAACTCTCTCATCAGGTCTACACTCCCTCCTGCCCACTACGCTCTGCCAATGAAAGGCGTCTGATCCAACCTTCTCAACAGGGTCCTCAGACGCTGACTAGACTCTTCTCCTCTGTCGCCCCCCGCTGGTGGAATGAACTTCCAAACTCCATTCAATCTGCAGAGTCCCTCTGCATCTTTAAGAAAAAGCTAAAGACCCAGCTCTTTCATGAATACCTACTAACTTAATGATGATGGTCTCGGTATTATTGATGATGATGATGGTTGTGACAATGGTTTTTGGTTGATAACAACGACTTATAAGATGGTTTCTATACTGATTAGAGCTCTCAAGAAATGCCGTCAATGTTGTGCTTTGCCTCTGTGCAATGCCTGTCAGCATCTATGTGTCCAATCGGACTCAAAGCTGATCGTTTTCTCTTACTGACATTGTTCCCTTTTGTTCTTGTTCCTTGCTTGTGTTGTACTTACTCTCTGATGTACGTCGCTTTGGATAAAAGCGTCTGCTAAGTGAATTGTAGAATTGTAGAATATCCAGACAAATGCATTCATGAGTCAAAGCCATTACGTTTACTAAGTGAGTGCAGAATCCTTAAGCATAAGCCCGACATCTAGTGTGTTGTTGTTTGATGGTGAATGTATGCACAGCCTAAGGGATGACATGACTTCCTGTTCTCAAATATCATCAAAACACTCTGAACTCAACAACAAAGGGAATGCTAAAGGTGTACTGCAGTCTAAGTGGTAAAATGATTCTAAGTTTTGTTTACAAAAT